AGGGGGGGGGGGCAGTAATTGACCAAACCCAAAACTACAGCCCATAGATGCCATATGGCTCGGTTTTCTTCATTGGTCGAACCAAGTCACTGGGTGCGGAAACACTTGAGCTAAATTAATTCTGGTCCACTAAAGTTTGGCCAATCAGCGTCCGAGATCTATTTAAGCAGTGGCAACAACGTCTCAAGAGAGCGTGGAGGAAGAGCTTCCGTAACAAATAGAAATGAAAGGGGGCAAACGGAAGGCGTAAAATGTATGACTTTAGCTTAAAAGGACTAAAAAAAACCCAGCAAACTAATAATCGACCGGTGGGGATTAAGTGACTGGCAGCCTTATTCAACCTAGAGAGACTGGTGAAGGAAATTATCAAAAAATCGGGTACAGGAACCATAACATAGAGGAGCGTGTGTTGCATATTGGTTAGCATAATGGGGCATAGAGTAAATTAGTAAGGGCGTGGATTAGCCGGGGTAAAGTGCGTCGAAAGGTCCAGCCACCACACAAACAACGCAAAAACAACAAAATCGGCGTTGTAGTTAAAGTCCTATAAAGCTGACCGCAGAGCGGCGGAAGGCTCTTCCTTGTGTGCACATGTGCGAGTGATATAATCATCGGGGTTGGTCATTCTGGCTATCTACCTCAACCACACAGACACACAGACACAGACATACACATTTACATAACTGCACTCAAGTTCGAAGGACGCCTAAGAGCTAAAAATTGGAGTGCACATTGATTGGGCGGGAGGTGCAGAGCGATGAAGAGGCAGCAACTTACGCTATCGACGTGTATAGTTCTCCGAAGCTAAATAATAAAATATGAAGGAGTGGGGGGAAGAAGGACAAGTCAAACAAAGCGAGGAAAGTGAGTAAAACATTAGAAAGAAGAAAGTCATTTGGAGCCGCGAGGTGAACGGTCCGACCCCACTAGCAGTGATAGAAAAGTCGCTTAACAATGTACACCCCTTTTGTGTAACGTCCCAAAAAGAGGAAAGTATTGCGGTGTTGTCAGCTAAGGTGTCTTGACCCTACGACTGGTCACTTGGTAAATGCACAGGACCAACACAGGGACCAGATCAAGCAACAGCGGCCGATA